AGCTGACAGCTTGGCTTTTTTGCAAGGAGCAACACTTGAACAGTCACTAGCAAAACAGACGTGGGGAAGAATTTTATTACAGGATACTTATCTACGACAAACAGCTAAATAGCATGCTGGTGAATTATGAGCTTGTGACAAAAACATTGGCAGGTTAACCATTCAAATACTTAGCTGACACCTCTGTATATGACGATGTTTATTGTTTCTCTTAACTTTGTGTGCAAACATCTTAATTACAGCCAGTATAACAGTTCATAGGGCACGTGTTTGATTTGTCAGCACAACAGATGCATCACACAAATGTCCGTGACTTTTTTATGAAGCATTGCTTCTTAATGTAGTGTCCAAAAAGTCTTTTGGTCACCCCGTGCTCGTTCACTAATCAATGGTATCATGGCTGTGATGATCCACTGTAATCGCCTTCAGCTTGTGTCTGCAACCGAATCACAGCCATGATGTTATCCACTGTCGCGTACAAACTCTTGCGTTCTATTGCTTAAATATTGAATGGATTGAGATGTACTGCATAGACACCCCTTCTAATTAGTGAAATCAGCTTCTTTAAGGTACACTGATTGCTGACTCAGGTGTTCGCACAGCTTGTATAATCTCCATAGAAAAGCACTGACAATAGAATGGGACTCTCTGGAGCAGCTGTACAGGAACCTAAGATCACCATGCACCATGCCAAGCTAGAGGGATATAAAGCCCCCGAAGCATTGGGCTGCGTAGCAGTGGAACTGTGTTCTCTGGAGTGATGGAGCTCCATTCAGTAATTTTGATAGGAGCTGAAGTGATCCAACATCAGTACCTGACCACACTAATGCTCTCGTGGCTGAATGCAATCAAATACTCACAGCAATGCTCCAACATCTAGTGTAAAGCCTACTCAGAAGAGTACAGGCTGTTACTGTAGCAAAAGGCGACAAAATCCCTTTTAATACCCTTGATTACAGACGAAACTCTGGATGAGTAGGTGTCTATAAACTCCTGCATATATATAGTGTAACTTTTCTACAATGCAGTGCAACATAAGTTTATTTTTTATGATAACTGTATGTCACAGTCTTAAAGTTTAATTAAACTGATTTGACCCCTTACACCTTAAGGGTATGCAGGTCTATTCCTCACTCTCTAAATATAACTAAATAACTTCTACTGTTAAAGGTGCCAAAAAAGGTTCTATGGAGTCATTTCACATAAGATCCACTATTATTTCCTTTATTGTTCCTTTGCAAAAATTGAAGAAAGTTTCCATCCAATTACAGATTTTTCCTAGAACTATACACTGATCAGGCATTACATTATGACCACCTCCTTGTTTCTACGTTTATTGTCCATTTTATCAGCTCCACTTACTGTATAGGTGCACTTTGTAGTTCTACAATTACAGACTGTAGTCCATTTGTTTCTCTGCATACTTTGTTAGCCCTCTTTTACCCTGTTCTTCAGTGGTCAGGCCCCCCTGGACCCTCACAGAGCAGGTACTAGTTGGGTGGTGGATCATTCTCAGCACTGCAGTAACACTGATGCGGTGGTGGTGTGTTAGTGTGTGTTGTGCTGGTCTGAGTGGATCAGATTCAGCAGTGCTGCTGGAGTGATAAAATGGACAATGAGCGTAGAAACAAAGAGGTAGTCATAATGTTATACCTGATTGGTGTACATCTAACCCATTAACCATTTAGGATGTTTAAGAGTGAACCTATTAGTTTTTTATTGTAGTTACCGAATTATGTAAACAAAGCTGCAAAACAGCCTGTTTTGAATTCACGATCTTGTGATGTCACTAAAACAAATACAATTACATATGTGCCTATTCTGCCTACAGCAGAATCACACTGGGTGTAAGGAGTGTTTTAGCCTAGACTATAGCCTCTATATGTGTGTGTGTATATATATATATATATATATATCGCTGTCGGAAGAAAACCTCGTATCTTCAAAATGATAACTTTACAGAAAAAGAAAAAACCTACTTTACTTTTAATGTAAGTCAATGGAACCAGAATTTTTTGCAAGTCATTTTGGGCCGTTTCTTTTGGTCCATGGATCATTAAATTTACACACAATGTAAAGAGTACATATATACTCTTTTGTTACAAAACATTCTATTGTAGATATACGTACTTCGGCTCTAGTACCTACTCAACTATTTCAGCCAATCATAGTCAAAGCAGGCTAAACTACTAAGCAGTCACTTACAGAAACTGCATCTAATCCTGCTGAGGTGTTGTAATGAAGGTGGTAAAGCCTGAAGGCGGAGGTCAGGGGTCAAATACAGTTATCATTTAACTTAAAGAAACGTGTGTACTCACATAAAGACATGCACATAAAGTCACTAACCCAAACACCTTAGATCTTAACCAGTTATAAATCACTATGAGTCAGAGAGAGAGAGAGAGAGAGAGAGAGAGAGAGAGAGAGAGAGAGAGAAAGTAGAAAAAAGTAAGAAGGTGAGATGAGAGAGTGAGATAGGAGAGAGATGGGAGGAAAGAGGTAAGGAAAAGGGAGCAAGAGAGAAAGAAAAGGGAGAGAGTGAGAAAGAGAAAGAGAGGGAAAGAGATAGGAGAGAGGAAAGGGAAAGAGTAGAAAAAGAAAGAGAAAAGAAAGATGACAGGAGAAAGAGAGACACTGGGGTAAACAGTGCATGTGGCAGAGGAAAGAGAAGTCGAGAGAGAGAGAGCGCAAGAGAGAGAAAGAGACAAAGAGAGAGTGTGAGGGTGAGAAAGAAAGGGAGAAAGAAGAGAGAGAAATAGAGAGAGAGAGAGGGGCTCTTGGACATGATGACCCCGTTGATAACCTAAGCCACACTGCACTATTCCCACAAATCTGTAATGCATTCAGATTCAGAGAGGGAGGCGTGTAAACATTAACGCTGCGGGTGACGGCCAACAGCACGCATACATTTAAACTAAGTGAAGGGAGGGACCATAAGCGCACCCTTCAATCACCCACCACTTGGGCTCAGTCGATCCCAAAAAGACTCAAGAGTCGACTCTAAAGTCTTGGACACGATTGTACACGTCTGTACCTGCACACACAAAAAGTGTAGGATATTCTGCTTTCACTGCCTCTATAAATGTTACATTTATAACAAAAATACTTCAAACAACACTGCAGTGCTGATACATCAGAGGAGAATCAGGAGAGCCCCCGTTACTCAGTTAGCTTTCCAAATTTCCTTTCTAATGTCAAATTTAATTCATACTGTACTCAATTTCTGCCAAATGTCTTTCTTTATGTTTTGGTCTTTGATATCAAGATTATTGTGCAGAATCAACTAATGGAATCAGACTCCAAGACCTGTGGAATCAAACAGCCCTACCGAACTGTTTTAGCTTGGATTCTGGAAGTTTAAATGTAAGCTCGCAAATTCACTTTCTGCTCTGAAGCCCTTCAGCACCTTCACTGCAAAATAAGCAATGCTCTCTAATAATCTTACTTGATTCAAATATGTACATCAGTTCCACATCAACACAGTTAGTGGTGCAACTAATAGGGCCCCAGTGACAAACCCCCATCCCTCATTTCCACATGAATAAAACACTTCATATCAATACTATTCTGTCTTCCAGTTTACCGCTGGCAATAATACTTGGTAATAATTATGATCTGTAGCATAACTATTCAGTGTTGTTGACGGTGCCCCTTGTTTAGAAACTGAGAGAACTGCATAGCCATGACTCACAGAAAGATTTAACTTCTTAACAACATACCTCACCAGTCAGTTTCCATCAACACTGAAGAGACAATACCTACATACTACTCATAATCCATCTTATTCAGCATAACCTCTAACTCTGCAACTTACTATTATGTTAAAATCTTAAATAGGAAGTCTAATGTAAACATTTAGGTTAACATTTGATGCTAGTGAGTGGAGTGGCCAGCCTTGAGCGTATCAACGTTTGAGGTATGAGAATAGCCAGTAAACAAGCCAATTACACTGTCATATTTTATTCCAGACTTTTTTGTATGGGGGGGTCATTCATTCCTTTTGCACTGGGGCCTATAAGAGCCCACTTACATCATTGATCATGTGATGTAATACATTTTATTCATGATGTACACATAATATCAAGTCAATTTAGAACTTCACTTTTGCCTAGATGTCTATTTCTGAAGCTCTTAATCTGATGTTCTGTTCAGCCTGGCTGTGTTTTGGTGCGCCTGAAGGGCCTACAGATCAACAAATATGGGCAAATAAGCTACAGAACAAACTAGTGTTCTTGGGACTGAATGAATACTTTACTCAACTCTTGACATGTGGAAAATGTGCTGATGCTCTTGTTTGCTTTGTTAAATAAAGTTTCAGCAGTGGGTAAAAGTGCTGAGCTAAAGCACATTCATTGAGTCAGTCAGCGTCAGTCTTGTGTAGCCTAACTTTAAATCTGCTGGCTAAGTTTGCATGAGTCAAAATTGAGCACCAAAGCTGAGTTAACAGCTCCTCTGTGAGTCTCCAGAAAGACATACACTCTTACTGTGGCTCTTCTCAGTACAGTAAATAGCATTCTGGTGTCTGAATGGGACATGTGCACCATGACGCACCGTGCGTAAAAGGCACGGAGTTGGAAACAAATGATCCACGTATTTTCAGTCTATTTAAAAAGGAGCAGATACAAAATACGTTGGACTCTTGTGACCTTGTCATTCTAAAGCTGTCAAAAGGGCAAGACAAACTGGACAAACGTTGGTTACAGCTCCTCTGTGCGCCAAACTCCAGAGAGATATTAATTCTAATATGAATGCATCACCTCTAGAATTAGCACATATACAGTGCGTAAAACCGAGATATACCCAGTGCAGTAAGGAGCAGCCGGTTTCTCATGCTGTTACATCTGAAACGAGCGTCATTACGCACCGTGCGTAAAAGGCGCTGGAGACGGACACGCGTAACGACACTGCCTTTCCTATGCTGAGATCTTTAACAGAGAAACGGACACAGAAACGCGTGAAACCTGCTGTATGGCTGAACCTTCACCAGAGAAGAACCTCACCTTTCTTGAACTCCTCCAGCATGGCGTCCAGCTTGGTGTCGTTAAAAACAAAGTGCAGCGGGTGGCTGTAGAACTTGGTGATGGTTTTGAGGGGCGTGCAGTCGTCGGGGTCCACGAAGGCCAGGTCCTTGACGAAGAGCAGGTCCACGATGTTGGAGCGCTCCTCCTCGAAGACGGGGATGCGCGTGTAGCCGCTCTCCATGATCTCGCTCATGGTGCTGAAGTCGAGCGTGGCGTCCGCTGCGATCATGAAGCAGTCGCACAGCGGCGTCATCACGTCCTCCACCGTCTTGGTCCTGAGCTCGAGCGCGCCCTGGATGATGTTCAGCTCCTCCTTCACCAGGTCGTTGTAGGGGTCCGTGACCCGCAGCATCTCCAGGAGCTTCTCGCGGTTGTACACGGTGCCGATCTCCTGGCCCAGCAGGTAGTCGAGGAGCTTGCTCACTGGGTAGGACGCGGGGAAGGTGAGCAGCATGAAGAACTTGGTCAGGAAGATGGTGTTGGCGCCCACGGCCAGCCCGTGCCTCGAGCATATGGCTTGCGGAACGATCTCCCCGAAGATGACGATGCCTATCGTGGACATGACGACGGCGATCAGGCCGTTGCCGGCTATGTCGTCCAGCAGGATGGTCAGGGTGGTGTTCACCAGGACGTTGCCCAGAAGGAGCGAGCAGAGCAGGTAGTTCCCTTGGCTCCTGACCGGCTCGATCTTCCGGGCGTAGTTTTTTTCCTTCTCGGTGCCGCAGTTCTGCACGATCTGGAGCTCCATCGGGTCCAGAGCCATGAGCCCCAAGTTCAAGCCGCTGAACATGCCCGAGAGGCACAGCAGCATGGAGATGAAGATGACCTGCAGCCAGAAGGGCAGCAGGAACTTCCTCTCCTCCACCACGATCACTTTGGTGTCGTCGCCTTCGTGGTAGATCCACGTGCTCTCCGTCCACGGGTCGTGCGTGCCGGCCGGCGTGGAGGTGGCGATGCACAGGTAGTAGGCTTTGCTCCTCTCGGTCTTGCGCAGGGGCTTCACCTCGATCTCCACCACGCCGGAGGTCTTGCGGTTCAGCACGATGTTGGGCAGAATGAGGATGTCCGAGGTCCTGATGCCGCACGGGTGCACCCCGTACGCGGTCTCCTCTTGGCTCTTGTTGTCGCCCCCCGACGAGCTGTCGAGGTTGTTGCCCACCACCCGGCCGCGCTCGTGCTCCGTGAAGGCGATCTTGGACCACGTCTCGTTGTTGATGTTCTGCCCGTAGACCCTCAGCTTCACGCGGGACCTCTCGCTGACCCGCAGGTAGCCCTTGTCCATGAAGGAAATGTCGTCCGTGTCCTCCAGGCGCAGGCCGATGATGACGGTCTCCTCTCCCCCTCCTCCCCCACCTCCTCCTCCTCCTTCTTTGCCCCTCGTCGGGGTGATTAAGCAAGCGCTGACGGTCAAGAAAATTAGAGTCACGGCTCGCACCCGGATAAGTGACGCCATTTTTGCACTGGCTACTGCTGCTGGCACGGACGGCTCTGCCATGTTGATAATGGGCAAACCCGCTTTGAATGAAAATGGCTTTAAGAAAAAAGAAAAGAAAAAAATCAGAGCCAATCGGAGTCCGGCTTCATCTCAGCTGCGCGCGAGTCGCCGGGACTTGTGCATTGGGGACCAGCTTGGCTCCGCAACGCCGCCGCTGAAACTGAACTCACTTCAGCGCCAAACTCGTGCCTCTCGCCCAGGCCCGGCCACAGGCGACCCGCGCAGCCAATCGCAGGCCGAGAACGCTGGGGGGCGGAGAGCTGACGGCCGGAACAGCCAATCGGAGCGACAGACGGCCACGCTGAATGCAAATAAGCGCGGAGAGAAGTTTCCTCGTGACTTTAGGGATGTTTTTGGGGAGCAACCAGTTAACAGAGGTGAGAGCATCCATCCACTGAAGTCTATATCGCCTTTTTATACACAGAAGAGCCTTTAAGGAGATCATTAACCCGTGTCTAAGGTGATTAATGTCCATGTGTGAAACTTACACATATTCACATATGGCTAAAAACTTTTTCAAGAGTTTGTCATCACTTAGCATGTCTTTTGATCACGTGATTACTGCTTTCTAACACAAAAGTATGAAACAGTATTTTAACAGAAAGTATGGAAATGAAATGTTGCTTTTATAGTAAATGGGATGGATACTGTTTGTTGTACTACACAAAGTTTAGACTAATCAAAACGAGTTCTGACACACTCCCCTCATCATACACATCATGCATCAGCTGTTGTTTAAAATGCAAAATATATATACAGACCTCTAAACACCCCTGTTGACATTACATGCTTTGTGAAAACAAGTCAACACATCCTCTACACTTGTCTGCACATTATGGTGCAACATTTCTATTTATTTGCTGATTTTAGCATTGTGGAAAAAAAATACAAAATAGGAAGTGCGTCAACATTAGCACAGCCTACGTTTTATGTTTATTTTTTCCAATATGATAAATTCAGCAAATAAACAGTAACTGTGTATTTAAAACGTGCAGCAGTACGTCCTCTGTGTTGACTTATTTTCATGTTATTTGCCAAAACATTTGCTTACGACTGTATAGGTACCTACATATAAAAATATATCCTATATGCATTATTATCCCATATTAAGTACCTATATGCAATAATAATGTCCTATGCAAAACATTTGCAATGACTGTATGATTAAAGACAGCAAGTCATGAAGGAAGGTCCTTAAGGATTTGTTTTTTATTTACAAAAGAATGTGCATTGTTATTAAGCCTTCCAATACATACATAAATCGTTAAGAAATCATGATTTGATTGGGTGAGTTCACTTTGAGTATTTATGGTCCTATCAGGGTCTTTAAAGAAAACAGACCCTGCATTTCAATTTTTTGAACTGGCAGAAGTTATGAGAATAACATTTCCAGGAATAACCCGCAAGCATCTGTGTGAAAGCCTGATGACATTTTATTTCAGCTGAGTTGAGTGGAAGTTCACTTGCTCATTCAACCTGAAATAATAGGTTTTGCCTCGAGTAGAGGCCACAAATCCTCATATTAGGATCAGTAATACACTACTATACTCCAAATGAAGTTCTTAAAACACTACAGCGGTTGAACATTCACACTGATATCACTGTAATCATTATTATGCGCATGATTATATGTCCCTACAATTAGACCGTCAGCCTCCACAATAGCAGTATATAACACCAATGTGTGCGTAGTGGCTGGCTAAAGCCAAAGGACACTTCTGATTGCCAACTCGATAGTATTTAGTATTGCTTAACTCTTCTATTGAGGGATGTAATATCACACAGTTGGCACTAAGACAGATGCTCAGCTCTGATGAGTCCGTTAGAAGGTACAAAGTCGCTGACATGTTGGTTACATTTCTGCAGCCACTGTATAATTAATATACTAGGACTGTAAAAGGTATTTTTACCATTTTTTTACTACTAAACTCCCTTTTTATTTTGCATGTGCCTGCTAAAAAAAGAACATACAGCCTTTTAAAGGTCCCAAAGCCTACATTTTTCTTTTATTATATTTTCTCCTATGGGTCCTCTTGTAAAATTTGTGTGGTTTTATGTACCAAGAATGGTCATAATTCATTTTTACATGACTGCCCTTTCTTTATCTCCTGGATTTAATATGCTGTTTATGTTACTGTGTCTTAAGACAGAGGTAAACTATCTCTGCTCTGACTGGCTGGCCTGTATTGTGCCTTGTTCAAAAAGTGATCAAGGCTGAAACGCTGCTTATAAATTCAGCGAAAATGTGCTGGGCTAAACTGCTGTAGACCGAATAGGTGCATATATATGAATATGTTGTTTTTGTGACATCACAAACAGTGAATCCAAAAGATGTTTTGTTATGAACTTTTCATATGTGGACTGTACGTACTGGAGATTGAATATGTTTTGAGACTTCGACAGTGTTTGCATACTACAACTATGTCAAAAAAGTGAAGAAAACTGCATTTTACATGATATGGGCCCTTAAAACTCCATTTAAAGTTGATCTAATACCAGCCTACATCACAAACATCACAATTAGGACAGCTACCACAGCAGAGGCTCACAGTACCACAGCAAGGAAAGGCATTTTGCATCATTCTTCCCTTCATTCTCTCCTTGATACTCATCTGCTCTCTGTAAACAAAAACGGCTAATACCGATTAAGAAATGCAATAAAATAGAGAAGGAAAACTACACGTATACGTATTACATAACATTACATTTAAGTCTGGTCTAGATCATTACGATCTTGACTAAAATCTAGCATTTATTTCTAATCTGATACGAATTTATTTGGCTCATAACAGAAGCTCAATGTAGGCCTTCACACTTTATTTGCTATCAAATAATGCTGCTTAAAAGTTAGAATGTATTTTAGGAACTTGGGTGCATGTAAAATGAATTCAGACTGATAATATTTGTAACGTTGCACTGTCATTTCTTTCATATAAGCGCTCTGTTAACTACAGGATAGGTTATTATATCAAGTATTACATCACCAAACCATATAAAACATTAGGATACTTGTATGTCCTGACTATAATTTCATGTCAGGTAACAAAACAGTCCATCAAAATACAAAGATTAATAAAACCTCTTTAAGTTAAAGGGCCCATATCATGGAAAACCAAATTTCCCCTCACTTTTTTGAAAAACAAGGCATTTAAAGTCATATGTAAACACTGTTTAAATTTCAAAATGTAGCATTCGCTACTCAGTCCATTCGGTCCCTATGTGGAAACTGTGCTGCAAAAACAGCTTGTTTTAAAGTCACTGTTTATGTGATGTCATGTGAAACATCATTTACCATATATCCATCTACTCAGCCTAAAGGAGTTTAGCCCCTCCCATTCATTCTAAAGTTAGAAGCAGTGTTTTAGCTCTGACTGCTTTTTGAAGAAGGCACAATAAGAGGCAGCCAGTCAGAACAGAGGTCATTTACATATACCAGTCTTAAAGGTATAGTTACAAAAAGAACCTGTTTAATTCTAAGGGATAAAAAGAGGTTGGAAAATGGTCATGTAAAAAAGAATTATGACCATTTTTTGTGACATGAAACCACACAAATGCTAATCAGTATTGTGTATCAAAAGCAAAGAATTTACTTCTGGGTGGATAACGCATGTAGTGCTGCACTAGTATAACAGTATTTTGTAATAATCATGAGAGTCATTTAACCAAGATACTGGAAAAAACAGAAAGCTTTTTTAAATTGACCTATCCAGGTCAATATAACATTTTAATATCATATCATTTCTTTGCAGTGTTTATTTATTTAAAAAAAAAAAAAGTTCACTTTCTAAGGTTGTTTTTCCCGCCGCACATTCAAAAACAACAACCAAAATCTGAACCATCTGGAAAATGTAAGTAAAATCACTACATGTTGGTACCCACAACAAGATTTTACAATTACTGCCAATAGTTTGTCGGTTAGTTTTGCATTTATTGTAAATTATGCCATAAACTGAGCTCATACCATGCTGACTGGATGCAAGTTATCCACACAGATTTATAGGCAACCACTGATTTGGTCTATAAGTGGACTTCAAGGGAAAACTACACTGAATGAAAAATGTAGGATATGGGCACTTTAAATGACATTTTCCTTCTACATTCACATGCAGCATGACTCTTGGGGACCACAGCACCCTCCAGTGGACGAAAGCACACCACCACTTCCCAACTGCTCAACCAGTTCGAAAGGATTCACAGGCACGACCTGAGGACAGAAAAGAAGTAATTTCTCAGTGGAAGAAAGTAGCATCACTGAGCTTTAGCTGCCCAGATATGTGAACAGTAGTTTATCAGTAATAATTAGCCCTGAAGCAGAGCAGTGCAGTATTGATTAACACGGTGTCCTTGATTTGAGTCCACTGCATGAGCATTTATGGTTCTTCTATCAGGATCTTTAAAGAAGAGAGAACTGTTTCTCAACCAGCACAAAAGTCTGACACATTCCAACAATCTACAGTTATGACTGTCTTTGATTTCTAAACTTGCGACAAGTATACACTCTGTTCCATTATCAAAGAGAAGTGTATGTATGTGTCTTTCCAAAGAGAACACGCAGGCACGAATGAAATGTCCATGGAAAGGAAGATGAGATTACGTAACTATTTATCTGCCGCTGTTCAGTTTATCATTGAGATTAGACGCGACTTAGCTTGCACACGTGGCTCCTACAAAAGACCCAACAGCCATAAATCAATGTTTCACTATTCCACAAGGCATAAAGTGAAAGCTCAGAAATGTTCTGTTTTCCTTGAATGGTATAGGGGTCAACGACAATCAACTGAAAAAAAAATGGTGAAAATCAGTGGTAGTGTCCACCAGCATTCAAATGAAGCTATAAGCCACAAGATGGTGTGTTTTACCATGGATAAAGGGTGTCAGTACAATGCAAAGCCTTAAAAAAGCAACAAAACATGTTATTACCAAACCACCAATTTTCTTTAAATAATATTAAGGTATCGTTAATAATTATAACAACAAACAATTCCACCAAGCAATATGGTTCTTTAAAATAGGCTGAGCGTTTGAAGCAAAGAAGCAACCGAGTGTTGCTTGTCCACACTATTGTGAATATACAATACTGTGATGTGAAAAAAGTTTTAGGCACCTGAAAAAAGAACAGAATTAAAAAGCTATTTATCTAAGCATGAAATATTAATTTGTCTAGGAATACACAAATAAATAATAAATACAAATAGCTTTATACTACAGTAAGTAGTGGTTTTATGTACACTCCTGGGGAAAAATGGGCCAAGCCCAAAATATAAAAGTTTTACTGTTGGTTTGGAGCTGTTCAGAGCTCAGATTTAAACTCAAGGGAGAATATTTGGTCTCACATTAAACACAAAATAGCTTGGTAATGTTTTTCATTTGTTCACCTGAAGCTATCAATGCTGAGTGGAAAATACGGACTGTTCTCTCTATATCAGGTTGTCTGCAAATTTACACACAAAACTTCAATATTTAAGGAAATCAAAGGGAAAAGCTATCCAATATTAAGTAATTTTATCTTTTTGTTTAATGATTGTTGCACAAATAAAAGCTTAATGTTTTGTCATTTTGGGGCTGGGGCCTATGAAGACCTCAGTGGTTTTGGAAGGTTTGATTTTTTCAATTATAGAATTATATGGAAACAGTTCTGTCCTGGTAACGTGTTGTGGAGAAGCTTGCATTCCAAGACTATCCAATCATCAGTGACATTATTGATTGTCCATTCACCTTAAAGCAACTGTGCTTTGCCTGTTAGCTTATTGCCCAATGTGGTTAGGCCTACACAAGATACTGCGCTGCCCAGAGTGACCTTTACTTCTTGTTAAGATGTACTGGTATGCAAAACTATAACCTATATAATATACATGTGAGTTTGTGCAAGAGAATATGATGTAGTTGTGAGTGTTTGAATTCAACAATTTACAACTGATGGCAGGACTCTTAAAATGCTGCACAACACTGAAGGAAAGGTATATAAAATGATATAAATGATGGGTAAAAAGAGTAATGAAGTGAAGAAAAACATGAAGAAGGTCAGAAATGAAAATATTTGGCAGTGTGGTTTAATCACTATCAGGGGAGGTCTTTGCACTAGGCAAAGGTAGGCAGCCTTTTTGTGTCCCTATGAGCTAAGGGCCCCATTAAAATACAATTAACCAACATACATGTGTATGTGTATGTGTATGTATATGTATGTATGTATGTATGTAGGTAACGCTTTACAGCGGTGAAAACGAAGATTATACTGATATCAAGACTATAAAGAAATTATTATTACACTGGTGACAGCATTACTTATTAGTAGGGGTGCATCAGTACCGATACTGCTATCGGGTATTGGGCCGATACCGTGCTCATTTACTCGTACTTGAAAAAATTCACTGATGCCAACATTCTGATACCCGCTGATACTGTGTGACGCAAGCCAAATATAGCTACCGCACTAATGAACAAATGACTGATGCTGGCAGTGAAGGAGACTCTGCTCACACAGAGAAGTGTTACTGACCCCGCAAAAATTCGGAAAAAAGTCGACTGCTGAAGTCCGCATACGTCCACTTTACTCTGTTGGACTGAGTAGAATTGCGAGGGATCAATGCTGATTTTTAAACTGCCTTTGCAAAATAGGCTGTAGAGAGACCGTATTGTGTGGTTAGCCGAGCTGCTGTTTTCAGCTTTATTTGAAATGGGATGTAGACACAGCTGTCTGTAGAAGCTGCGTTTCACATAGCATGGACAGAGAGTTTTGTACAGTGCGAGTATTTACACTGTAGGCTTTGTCCGTACACAATGAACTACTCAAACAGACAGTGTGACTCACCAAAGAACAAGATTTCTAAAACTGTACAGTGTATGTCTGGCTTTAAAGGACATTCAGCTACAGCCAAACAAAAGACTTCAGACATAAAACTTAACAAGTCAGCTCTGCTGCCATTGTGATGCAGTGACTGATGTTGAAAGAAAGAGGTGAAGAGCATCAAAACTATGAAACGTACTTTACTTACAGCTGTACAGAAGGGGGACAAAGCTCGCCCTTCTCCACTGCAGCGCTTCTCAATTCAAGGTAACTAGTGTAGCATAACTAGCTAATGCACTTCTTTTAATATCAGCTAGATTTTAATGATTTAAGGTACATTGTACTCATTTACACCAACAACTACTCAATCCTAAGTAGGTAATTAATTATGGCATCTGATTCAGTATCAGCAAATACTAAAAAAATATGTTCTCTGTCTGAAAAAAAAAAAAATGGTATTAATGCATCTCTATTTATTACCATTCTTTTTTTTCCCTTCTTTGAAAATTTGAAACTCCACAGGTTTCACACAATTGGCTGCTGGTCATAAACGTTACGCTTTTATGTGAACATACACAAGGATTAATCCTACCTTGAATATTTGAACCTGAATTAACAGAGAACGTTGACCACCGTCATAAGAAACAATTTAACTATGATTGCATTTGTCAAGTTCTGTGACGCTAAAACTCAGGAACGGTCTTTTGTGAATCTGAACACAAAACACCATCATGGTTAAAATACTAAAACATGTCAAATGAATCCAGACTTTACCTCGAGCATGGGGACTGGAGTATAAAACTTAAATGTAAAATATAAATATAAAAATCAAATCAAAATATCAGCTGATATTGACTATCTGAACTTTTAGCCCCCTAAAAATTGGTATCCATATCGGCCACAAAATCATATAATTCAGGCCCTACTTTCAATAGGTTCATGCTCTTAGACATTGTCTAAGATGAAGGCTAAGCACATCTCCTCCTAGAACTAGAATCAGAGAGACCTGAAACCAAGGTCAAATGATCATTTAGTCATATCCCTAGATGAGCGCTGACTTGACCTGCAATAAACTGAGGCCAGACACTTTCTCTGTAGCTAGTATAACAGATTAAACTGAAGGATGAACGTGTTTATGTGCGATTATAAATAGGCCTGACTCCAAACAGTTGCTTCTTATGTCTAAACGGGCTGTGTGACCATGAGAAGTTCTGATAAGGTGACATTCTTCAGTTGGAAGGTTATTAGCGCAGCCGTAGTGCAGTGAGGCAGCTGTTTGTCCTTGAGTGTCTGCGGCTGTTGTTGGGCCTGGAGTAGCATGCTGGTTAGCGATGGGCATAACAAACTCCCAATCATGTGGGAAGACAGATGCAGCTAAGCTAACAAACTGCAGTGACTTCGAAGGGGAATTTCACAAATTTTTTCAAATTTGTGCATAATTTAATCAATAAGTTGCAAAGTCATTCAGAGTGGTCTGATATGAAATAAAAGAGTCAAAAACGTTAACAGAGGTGGTAGCAGGAAACAGACATCCAAAGCATTTAATGCCTGACAGAAAGTTATTACATGAAATGGTAATGGACACATGTACTTTTGCTCAAATTGTGTTACAATCATTTTGAGAAAAAGGTTTGGTCTAAAATGTATTATTTGCATCTCAATCAATGAATTACGCAGGAATTTTGAACAATCAGTGGAATTCCCCTTTAAGGCTGGATTTACCTGGTAAAACATTTACACAACTTCTTACAGGCTGCAAGCAGCATAAAACATAACTTCCATGCAACCTGACAGTTGCATGATGTAGATAAAATTAAAAAAAAACATGGTTCCATTCACTACTTCTCTAGCTAGACTAAAAATAAAGTTGCAAAAAAGTGGATCTTCAACAGCATCATTTAAAGAACACTTGCGTTTGGAGGCTGGGGGCTCCTGGTAAAATGACATGTCTTGTTGACTTTCCAAGTGAGAATAAGTCAACAATAAACTACTATTTATCAAGATAAATGCAAGTAGTGATACATATGCTAGTAGCAAGCAGTTGCATCTACACATCAATAAGCCTTTCAGAGCGAGGTATAGGCCTATTTCACTGAAACAGACACAGTCATAATATCCCGTTTTATGAGGTTATTCCTGTATCTTGTTTGAAACTGGAGGTAGCAAGTTTACTGACTGGCACTCTGTTTACTACTACTTGATTAATCTATGCAAACCCTAGTGAGTACAGGCTAACAAAACAGAGCAAATGCTGGCAAACAACTGTTCAAAAAACTGTGATATTAACATTATCTAGCTAGCTAACTGGCTAGTTAAGCTAACTTGTTACAAGCAAACAATCAACGATATTTCATTGGACCATGCTTTGTATAATTGTTTATCCATGATGCATCAATGGAAACTACTGGATGAAATGCAATCTTAAAAATAAAGGTGCCAAAAGCAGTTGTTTGTGTAATACCATAGAAAAAACTTTTTTTTTTTTCCAATAGAATTGAATGGAAATTGGATATGAGACATGTAAGTGTAGAGAAGTACATTATGTGAAGGATCTTTATAACTTTAAAATGTTCCTCACACTCACAAATCTGTTTTTCAATTATTATTTGCCCTATCAGGCCATTTTCATTTTTTACCTAGCCTACTTTTATGTTGCAGTGTTTTACAGCTGGGTACTTTCCGGTAGATCGTCAGAACCAATCAATTATTAGATTGAATTAGATTAGATTAGACCCGATCTTATTGCTTTTGGCTCCTAAACAAAATATAATAAACAAATAAACATAAGCATAGCAATACTGCCAAGCTATTTTGGCAGTTGTTCTGTGGTCTGAACACACATGATTTATGGAACAAAAGACCATGGCAGAGCTGACTGACCAATATGGAGGCACTTTTAGTTATGCAATCGTTTTCTCGTGAACAGTGGTCCCTCAGTTATTGGGCAAACTTGCGCTTCATGTTTCTTGAAAACAGTGATACTATTTTACTAGGCTTGATTTTGTTCTTCAATATTAGGCTACTTTGTGTCTTCATAGCAGGATCTAAAATTACTGTACTTGAGATAGTGCATGTTTCAGAGCAGTGTTTTATGGAAAGTTGGGTCAGAAATGAGAAACTAACATTAAAAATTTTTATGTGTGAACAAACACAGAATACTTGTACCAGAACTGTATTTTAGCATGTAAGATTTCACTTCTCGTTAGTGAAAATTTGTGGCTTTTCCAATTCATTTTAGTGGAAGAAACAAATTTGTACTAGTATTAATTACTATTATTTCTAAGAGCTGTCAAGTTGATTCTGACTCCTGACAACCATATTTGTAGTGTTTCTTCTTGTTTTATTTTTAGATCTTTAGGTTAATTACTTTTTAACATTTGGTTATTCAATCTTGACAAATCAAAATAATAAAAATAGTGAAAACTGAACTGTTTCATAAAAATGTTGTATGTACATATTCTTCCATACAAGACAATTACACTTATGTTTCTTATTTTGTTTCTTAAAATGAATTGTCAAGAGTTCTTAGTAATGACAAAATCTTACATAATAAAATATAATTACTAGTGGTAAATTTTGATTTTATAAGATTTTATAAAATGAATACATTTTAACAGGATTCAGTGAAACTTTAAATTGGACTAAAAGCTAAAATCACATGCAAAACTATTTCAAAGGCTAGGCTTCTGCTCTAGTACAAACCTTGGGTTTGGCACAGCATGCTGTTGATGCCTGAGAGTGGAATGTGAACTCTTCAGAAAACCTCGAGTTCTTCAGGATGCTGGCCACATCTCCATCCACCTCCATCACCTCATTCACCTGCAGAGAATTACACAAGCAAAACATTCTATGGTGTAGTACTCATGTTGCTACAAAATAGGGCTGACATTGATTACAAAGATCTGTAGGACTGATAAACATTGCTTTTGTTCATAAGAACAGTTACTTAGCCTCGTTCTTAATCAAATAATTTAGCTAAATTAAACTGCTTGTTACCACATTAGTATAGTTTTCAACAACATCTTTTGGCATACACTGACTAAAGTAATACATTCGTTGACTTTACTTGATTGTAATGTGCACATAATTTCCACATGAATAAAATATAATACGTTCATATAATTGTGTATATAACTGTGTAATACATTTTCTGGCAACAACTTGTGTAATATTCACTACATGTCCAAAAAAATCTAGGCACCTGCTCATCCACTGTTTCTTCTAAAATCAAGGATGTGAACAGGACGTTTGTCCCTATTTGCTGCACTAATAGCCTCTACTCTTCTGGGAAGACTCAACTAGGTATGGGAACATTGCTGTGAGAATTTGACTGCATTCAGCAACAAGAGCATTAGTGAGGTCAGGTACTGATGCTGGATGATTAGTTCTGGTTCACTCCAACTCAACAAAGGTGTTAGATGGGCTTCATCATTCCAGAGAACACAGTTCCACTGCTCCACAGCCCAATGCTGGGGGCTTTATACCCCTCTAGCCGACATTTGTTATTAGACATGGTGATTTTATGCTTATGTGCAGCTGCTCCAGAGCGTCCCAATCTCTTGGCAGTGCTTTTCTATGGAGAGTATACAAGCTGTGTATTTACCTAATGTCTTAAAGACAGAATGAGTGGTATAAGAAATGTAAACAAAAAAGATAAACACATGAGCGAGAAAGAGAAAAGTACACCAATTAAAAGGAACACTACCGCTGACAGCATCTACTGACAAAGCTGTCTATCTTTATCTATAGGTATTAATAGCAGTGGCTTTAATGAAAACAAATTTCTACGCTCCATAGTGCTTGCCTGATAAACTTTGCCCTGTTTACCCATCTTCATTTTAATTTAGCTTAATAATAATAAATTAATATAACTTTTTTCTTTTAAACAGATCCAATATTAGACCAGATGGCCACTAGAATAGACCAGCTGTTCCAGCATTTCTTGCCTTGGAGTACCCCCCATCCTGCACATTTTTGTTTTTCTGTGCTCCCAACATACCCACTTCTAGTCATGAAGGGCTTGTTAAAGAGCTTATTAGTTGGTTCCTGTGTGATGGGAGCAGGGGAAACACTAAAACATTGAAAACTGTAGACCAGGGTTGGGAACTTGTGGATGGGACTAATCGTCACCCTCTTTGTCCATCTTCATTTTTATGTAGTTAATGTTTAACATTTCAGTAACCTGTAATCAGGTACTTTCACACAGATCTTTAGAACTATTACATTATTAGACTGAATTCAATTACATTAGATTAGATTAGATTTGATGTTCCTTTTTGCTCCTAATCGAACCATAATAAACAAATAAAGACAGCAGAAAGACGTAGCAAAAGTGCAAAGTTATAGCACTGCATAACACATTGGAACACACTCTTTTCTTTGCGCTGTATCACATGCGTCATAGCCTAAAATACCTACCTTAAAAGAATACTGAGCATCAAACTCCAATTTTTCTTCTGAACCTGTAATGTTTCCATCATACATGACAAGGCAGCGCTTCTTCTCTGAGTTCTTGGGTAACTTGAAGAGGCGATATGTGGCAGAGACAAACTTGTAGTCACCTAAAAAACAATTTGCATTACGTCTCATCATATACAGTGGCAGTACAGTTAGAAAGCTTCTTCTGGGCGAAAACAGGAATAGAAGACTTCTTCTTAAAATACCTTTTTGCTTATCATTAAAATACCAAGAAAAATGGTGTAACTATGACTCTCTTACCCAGAAGCTTCTCTAGTTCTTCATTGCCTACGGAAACGATGCTGGCAGTGACCAGTCGGGGCATGCTGAATCCGACCTCTTCAGCCAGTCGCACGAGGTCCTCCCACCACAGAGCCCCGCTCAGGCACTCGCCTCAATTAAACATAGAAAACACCTTTAAAATGTCTCGGATATTCTAAAGTCTCCACTTTTAAAATGGTTGTTGCACGAAAACTTCTCAAAGCTATAACACTCAGTTATAGTTATGAATCAAATAATTCAGGCTTTTTCTATGCAAATATGCAAATTGAACTAAGCAGCCCCAAGAAGGAGCTCTTTCATTACTGCATCCTTAAGTTTTGTCTATGTTGCTTTGACCTTACAGCACCCATATCATGGGAAAGAAAAATTCTTTGTGTTTTTTTTAGGAATTTAAACGTTTGTCATAGTATATAGTCACTGTTAAAGTTTTGAAACATACTGAACATGCTGTTCTCTTCCAAGACCATACAGTTCAAGTAGAAGTTACAGCTGTTAGAAGATTAGAAGTTAAGCTGCCTGTTTTGAATTCAGTGTTTCTGTGATATCAAGAAAAGCCAACACATCTTCATATATCCACCTACAGCAGCCTCGCCTATTCATGCTGAAGGAATGTTTAAGCCTGAACCTTTTTTTGTTGTTGTTTTTTTTTTTTGAATGCGACACAATGCAGCCAATCAGTAACAAAAACAGCCTCTTTAATTCTAAGGAATAAAGAAGGGTTGACAAATAATCATGCAAGATGGATAAAGAGTTCTTTGGTATATGAACTTAGACAAACATTATAATACAGACGGACGATATGTAAAAAATATATCACAATACTTAAAAACATTTTTACGATACACATCACAAGATTTCATTTTTCTGAGGTTTAATAAGTTGGAACAGACAGAAAAAATACTATAATAACAATAATAATAATAATAATAATAATAATAACCTACAATGATTTTTATTTGATGTTTTACAAACTGAACGACATCTAATTACATAGACCTACAGTTGCACTCAAAATTATTCAAACCCCACATTGAGACTGTAAAGACGTACAAAATCAAGCTTTTATGAAGACCCAGAGAATTTTTGAACTACCTGTGTAACAACTGACTGGCCTATTCAAACTGATAGCAAAAATGTTATGATGTCATATTTCTGAGTAAAAGGATAAGTTTTCAATACAGCCATGTCAAAATTATTCAACTGTTATTCAACAGAGCTGATTTTTAAATCATTGTTAGTCTTGTAAAGCTACAAAATTGTGCTACAACAGAATTAAGCCCTAGGAAATTTACTTTGCTTCAGCTATGATACATACATAAATCCCATCCATGCATGTGTTCAAGCTCAGCACCAAACACGGCAAAGAAAAAAGGAGCTGAAAACCAGCCCTCGCATTACTGCAGTATGACCTGATGCAGACAGGAATAAAGCTATAAAATAAATCAGTTAAGACGATAAGAAGAACATTACACAAGCAAGGACTTCATCCTTGGACACCTCACCGCACTCCACTCTTGACCAAAAAGCACATAAACGTTGACTATGCAAAGTCAAATATGCAAGAAGGAATTTAGACAGGCCTGTGGAGTTCTGGGAGACAGCTTTATGGAGTGATGAAACTAAATTAGATCTGTTTGGACCCATGGATCGATGGCATATTTGGTACAAGAAAAGTGAAGCATATTACAAAAAGAACACCAACCCCACGGTCAAGCGTGGAAGTGGGTCAGTCCTGTTGTTAGGGTGTTTTGCTGCTGCAGGAACTGGCAGTCCTGAACATCTGAGTGCCATCATGGATTCTTTGAAATACCAGTTCATTTTGGAGAACATTGTGTTGTCTTCAGTGCATAAATTGAAGCTTGATGATCAATGGACTTTCCAGCAACACACTGATCCCAAGCATACATCCAAATCAACCAAAGTTTGGTTCAGGGATCGGTCCTGGAGTGTCCATCTCAGTCCCTGGATTTAAATCCCACTGATAATCTTTGGTGGGATTAAAAGAAAGCTGTGGTGGCACCCAAGAACATTAATGAGCTGGAAGCTTTGCACATGAGGAATAAGCAAAGATTCCAACAGAAAGATGTCATAAGCTTGTGAAGACCTACCGGAAACATTTATTTAAGTTTATAAAGTGTTCAGGATGCACCACGAATACTGACTTTGGGGGACAGATAATTTTGCACATGGACATTTGTGGAGAGCATGATTTTTCATTTGAACTGTTCACAGTAAACTCAACTTTATTGTTTTAAATTCGCTTGAATATGTAAAGATAAACCTTCTTTGACTGTTTACTAAAGCTCGGGTTGAAATATTTTCATCAAATTTTTTATATTACCAAACTGCCTTGCACCTTGAGGGGTTTAAATATTTTTGAGCGCATACTGTAGTTATGCTCAGTTATGCTAGTTAGTGGTCAGTGTTCTTTACGTACTGACGATATACACGATATGCTTAGAAAAGCATATTGTGACAATTTATCACAATAAATAATAATAATATTGCCCACAAATTTGGGAAACAGCCTGTTTTCTTTAGAAAAATGATTGCTGTTAGTATGGGGAAAAAATACTTGCAGATGTTTGCGTAATTAATTATTTGACACTTTTCTTTTCCAAACTATTGCTAAAAGAACGTATATAAACTCTCTTGGCCCAACGTTTAACCAGCTGAAAGCTTTGAGTGCTGATGAGTGATGCCATCACAACATGGGGATAAAATGTGTGGGTTTTGGCTTTTTTACCAAGGTAATGTTGTCACAAAAACTTTAAAAATACAACGAGAAGCAAAAACATTGATCTTTGTCACATATTTGTAAATTTTGTATTCCAGATCAAAAGATAAGCATGAGACTTGCGCAGTGAATGTTGGCAGTTATTTCTGTTTTCCATACAATGTAAACCAGATTTTTTTCCTCTTTAAATCATTTGTTGTGAATTTCACCTGAGCTTATAAGAATTGGGACACATGAACGACAGTTTGCATTAGGGTACAAAAGGAGATGAAAACTGCAGATAAGCAGTTCTGAACATAAGATTAAAGCAAATACCAATCAGAGCCTTTGTGGAACAGCTGGACATTCCAAAACAGCACAACAGAATAGAATAGAATAAAATAGATTAGAATTTGAATAGAACTACTATTATGGGAACTACTGGAGAAGTAAGCAATTAGTAACGCTCAGGCTGCCCCACAGCAGCTGATTCGAGGAACACTATTAACGCTGTTAAGAAAAAGGTCAAAATAACATCCAAAGAAATAAGAAAAGGCAGTCTATAGAGTGTAAGGGTGACCGTGTCAGCATTCACAACTCGCAGAAGACTTCAAAAGAAGGAACACAGAAGCGTTACAATTTATTATCGGTTCAGGCTAGAATTAACAAAGAACTCCAAAGATGAGCAAGAAGAGTCCTGGAGGAATTCACACAACAATGACATTTTTTGTCCAGTATAGTTTATGTTACATGGAAAACAGTGGCCAGAAACAAAAGCTGACATTCTGTGTTTTAGTCTCATGCTCGTGTTTTGAGCTAGAATACAAAATTTATGCATACGCAACAATAATAACCCGTTTAACCTCATTGGCCCAATACATTTGCTTCTCACTGTAGGTATCCCAAAACTGTTGACAGGCTTAGGACAACATGTTATGTGTAAATATCATGCAGAGAATGTGAGATTTCTTCAGTTTCTCTCTTACCCCACAACACTTTGTTGGCCCTGAGAGATTCTGAAATTCTGGCATTGCTGTAAATATCACTGAAGTACAGTTCACCCCCATCCTGAAAAACAAGAACACAAACTTTTAGCCATTTCTACTGATCGGCCATAAAAAGTCACATCTCTTCTTTGAAGACTGATGTATTGTTTTGTAGAGAGTTGTGAAATGTGAACATCAACCTGTATCTGAATGAATATGAAGAAAACTTATGATACATTACTGTAATACACTATAGTTACACAGACTAATACCTATTATGTATGAAGAACAAAGTACCTTCAGGATATGGAAGGCCTCTCGTAAAACGCTGGCCTTGTCTGGTGAAAGGTTCAACACGCAATTAGATCTGTCAAACAAAATCAAGATGTCAAAGTGGCTTTACAGGGTTGTAGTGATTGGTAAGTCAACACACTCCTAAAAACAAAAGATCCTAAACAGTTCTAGGCATCGATGTACAGAATTCAAAGGTTTGAACACTCAAATTCAAACAGTCAAATTATATGTTCTGTTGATTTTCTAAATGAAAATAAGTTCACATTCAGGAAACAAACTAAAAACATGAAATTTGATCAGGAGTGCCCAAACGTTTGCATATGACTATATGTTTACAAAAAAGTCATTAAATGTTATGGAACCTTTACATTATGTGGAGGTTACTTAAGTTTTAAAAAGGTTCTTTACACTCACACATCTCATTTACAAAAATTGTTCTTTAGAGAAGCTTGTTGTTAACTCTGCTCCAAAAAACTTTTTTAGCACTTTTTTTTTAAGAGGGTAATTAATAAGAATAATAAAAGAAAAAAGACTCAACCCATAACATTTGAAAGATTTATGTAATTTTCATTATTCTGCAATTTTGCAGATTTTCATGCTGAATAAAAACGAAATATTTATTTTGTTTTCAATCTAAATATATAAATATACATATTTATATACATATTTATTTTGTCTAGATTTAGCTGCTCAAACTGCTTTTCAATGAAATATTAGGTTGCAATAAAATAGAAAGCAAAAATATGCAAGATAAAATGAATAATAAAATGAAATTAACTAAAATAACATTGAAGCTGGAGTGAAAAGATTAATAAAACTGGTGTGCATTGTGTTTTTGATACAAAAGACTGACTCAAATTTTTTCACATGTTGCTTAAAAGTGTGGACTATTTTCTATTGGTTAAGTGACTCAGAAATAAGCATTGTCTCGCAAATAACGAGACAAGGTTCTTCAATTAAATAAATATGTGCAACAAGTCTGAGTGAAATAGCTGAAGAATCATTTTAAAGGTTCAAAATAATTCACACAAAATTTAACATGAGAATTCTATTAAAAATGTAGTGGAATGAACTACAAAGTAATAGAGAGGAAACAGAACAACAGGCTCCATATTAAGAAAAGGATATCTGTTTGCAGTGTCAGAGTGATTGAGAGTCACTTCTTGAAAATTCTAAGAATCCATGTGACGAGCCCTGCAGCAAACCATCTGGAGCCGAAAAAATATCAATTACTGTACCTTTAATGTGTGTGCATAAATAAAGAGGTGGGTTTAAAAGCCTTACATTATTATATCATAAGACTTCTCCTCCAATCCAGCTTCCCTCAAGGCCTCGATGTACCCCTGAACAAAGTTCACATTCGGCTTCTTAAACCCAAACTTCTGCATGTGATAATCGATGAACTTCCGCGCGACCTCAAGCTGTAAGACAGATGGCTCAGCTTAGTGGTGTCCATAGAAAATATATGACAATTCTGTTCCCGAAGCTGATCCTACGGGCCTAAAATTCATATAATTATATTAAATTCATATTATATATAACGAAATTAGTAGTTTAGATTTAAATTTTATACATCAGCAGTTTTGGTTAAAAAGCACCTCACTGATAAATCTGGCTGAATTGTCCCACTTCTTAAACTCAAACAGCAGAAACTCACAATGGTCAATAATACAAATGTAGCACTAGAGGTGGAGCTACCTAGAACTCTTTGTTCTTATGATTTCTGTTTATTCCCATTGATTTTCTTAAAAAAGAAACACAATAAAAATAATAAATAAACATTTTAAAGTTTACATACCCCTGGTTTTATTAATTTTCTAAGTGATAATAAGTTAACATGTCCTCTATAGTATAAAAACTTGAATATTTTACTATTTAATTTTTTGTACTTAAATATTTTACATATTTGAATATAAACAAATGCATTTTTCCGGCACAAATGCAAATTTTAGAGCACAATTTATATTTATGTGCTGAATTTAACTGTAACTTTTGTACAGACCACATTTTAACTTTTAAATGTTTGCTAAATTCAGAAAGTAAACAGTAATGATGTTTTAAATTGTGGATTCTCTGTAGAGGATGTGTTAATTTATTTTCACTTCAATCAACATCAATCAAAACCAACAAAACATGTAGTTCGAGCGGGGGTGCCCAAACTTTTGCATACGACTGTACAGATATTGAAAGTCTCATACTGGCCTACCCAGAAGAACAGCTGTGATATTAGTAAAAATATCAATAAACCACAGATCCTTGATATCAGATAATATCATCAGTCAACTCATTTATCAGTTGGGGCACTAATAGAAAGATGTCAGTTGTGAAGATGATGTATCAGTATTTCAGTGCTTCAAGTTATTCAAGTCAAACTCCATAACTGAAAAAGACGGTTTGTCAGCTCAATCTCAAAATTACAAGTAAATTTACAAGTTTTATTCTATCTATATAAATACTTTGAATAAATGATGCCTTCAATCAAAGTCAAATAAGTATGAAGTATGTTTTTTAGGTTGAACTGACAAAACCTTTTACAGCATAGAGCAAAAGCAGAATTAAGTTTTCTGTCACATCGTGAGAAACAAGGGCACATTTTCTCCTTTCTGCCCAAACAATAAATAGCTCAATGTCATCCTCATCATATAGCTGCTAAATTTCAATAGTGCTAAAATGTATGTGATAATATACTGCAGTAAAAAAAACAATAATCATACGTCTTGTTAAATAGTAATAAATGAAGTAAACAGTCTACTTGACACAGACCCAGAAAATGCTTGTTCATATCATCTGAACAGTAAATATTGGTGATAATTTCACATTTTTTTTTAAATAATAGCCGATGTTCCTGAAGAAATATTAGTCTATCAACACAGTACCTGTTGTGAAATTATTTTAATTAGGGATGCACCAATTAGGGAATGCCAATATCTGATATTTTTCCATGTACATATCTGCCAAAGCCAATACATAAAAATGTATAAAATGTCGAAATTGCCAGTAAATCCACCTGGATTAGCATTACGGGCATATGTGACATTTATTTGTAAAGGGTTAAAACATAGTAAAATTATTACCACAGTAGCCCAGCATCACCTAAATTTGCTCTTCCACAGTACAATCAATACATCAAATGTCAGTTTGAAATATCAGCCAGATCTAAGCATCTGTCCAATGCCAATATTTTTTATCTGCCGTTACTGATATGACTCAGATATCATTGTGCATGCCGAATTTAAATGTGTATTAGCACTTTTTATACATTTCCAGTACACCACAATACTGCAAAATACTGCACTGATATAATCACAGAAAATTTTCATATTGGCCCATACCTAGCCTTGTAATATACTGGCGACAGTGTATTTGTCAATAAACACAGAGCATTAACATTGCAACTGTTTTTTCATCATTATATTAGCATTAGTGTCTTTATATGCACTCACATTTATAATCCTCATTGCTGTAACAATCAGAATTAGATATATTACACTTTCACAGTGCTAGTGAGGTCATATTGTTTTTCTGGCATCCTCAGTAGCATCTGAAGTGAGAACGTCACAAGTGCAGCTTCTTTCTTGATATAAAAAATTTGTCTTCAACTGGCACAATACAAACATAGCATCAATACACAAACATTTTTAAATGTTGACTTGCTTGCTCACCTTCAAAAGACAAAAATCTAGTTCAGTTCTGTTTTTCTAAATCATACACAATTCCATCAAAATGTATTCCACCAACGTTATTTATAGTTGATCGGAGAGCCCTCCAAAACTGGCAGATATTGCATTTTATAGCTACTGTGAAAAGGGGTTCATATCTTCTTGGGCACCTCCAGAATTAGATTTGCTGTGCTGAAATCCTTGGCCATTTCTTTTTAATGCAGAAAAACTGATAGACTGAACCTGACTCATGGAAACTCACAGTCAGCTCTCTGACATCATTAATCAGACCCACCTGATTTTCTGTCATATCAATTCCGGTGATGTGCCCATTCTCCCCCACTAGCTGGCTGAGCATGTAGCAGTCACGGCCACTGCCACAGCCAAGATCCAGCAATCTGCAGCCTTCCAGACACTCAGGCACCACCAGCCCACAGCCATAGTACCTGAGAACAAAGAGGGTATTACTTGGGCGACCAGCAGAGGGATCCCAAAGACTGACCTTAAACGTGCAACATTAATTCATACTCGCCTTTCTTACAAACTAACAATGTGTAAATATGGACTAAAGGGCTTTTTGTGGATTCCATCAAATAAAATGAACAATAACAGATGACGACTCTTGTATACACTATGAAAGTTAGCAGACACCTGCTTATCTGTTTCTTCTGAAATCAATAGTATTAATAGGGCGTTTGCCACCTTGGCTGCAGTAACAGCCTCTACTCTTTTGAGAAGGCTTTATACTATGCTAGAACATTGCTGTCATGATTTGCTTGCATTCAACCACAAGAGCATTAGTGAGGTAAGGTACTGACGTTTAACGATTAGTTCTGAATCACTCCAACTCATCGTGAAGGTACTGAATGGAGCTCTACTACTCCAGGGAACCTAGTTCCACTGCTCCACTCCAGCCTACACTTGTCATTGCATGATGCATGGTGATTTTATGCTCATGTGTGGCTGCTCCAGAGCGTCCCACTCTATTGTCAATGCTTTTCTATGGAGCTTATACAAGCTGTATGTGTGTAATTGAACACCTGTGTCAGCAATGCATGAACCTTAAAATAGCTGAATTCACTAATTAGGGATACTTTTGGACACAGAGTCTATGCATAAGTCTAAAGCCCATTTCCTCTCCTATATTAATCAATGTAGCCGTTCACGGCGGTAACACGCGCTTGAAGCGCAATAATGCGCTTTGGGTCTATTTCTATGCAGAAACAGAAAGACAGAAAGACAGATAGATAGATAGATGGATAGCAGCCAGTAGCAGTCACACAACACAGGACAGTAGTAACAATAGTAATAAGGGTGTAAAAAATATAACAGGAAGAATAAATATAAAACAAAACAAAACAAAAAAACAGGCATATATACAAATAGAAAAATACAACAATCTGGAATAAGATCTATAACCTGAGATGATAAGGCAGTGCAATAATGACTGTACAAGGAGGCACAGGTGACGGCATATAATGACAATACTGAATAAATACGTGCAGATATTGGTACCAAAATAAAGTGTCTAGTGTGGAGTGTCCAGATGTGCAAGATGCGCAATAACGTGTGCAGAAAGTGCAATATGTGCAGTAAGGTGTCCAGATGTGCAGATGGATAAAAAGAAACATAAGATTTAGCATAAGATATAAGACCTATGATTTGTGATTTACATGAGATTCAGATTCAGTCCTCATCTCTCCTCTTCCCTCTTCTCTCTTCTCTTCTGGCCCCCCTGGAAAGAGTTGAAGAGCCTGATGGCTCTGGGGACAAAGGATCTCCTTAATCTGTCGGTTGAGCAGCTCTGTGACAGCATGCTCCTCCTGTCCATGATGATGGTGTGCAGTGGGTGGTCATCACCCTCCATAATTGAGAGCAGTTTGTGCAATGTTCTTCTTTCAGCCACCTTGACCACAGAGTCCAGTTTCACACCTACCACTGACCCCGCTCCCCTGACCAGCTTGTCCAGTTGCATCTCGTCTCTCTTTTTTTTTTTGCAATGTCTATGCTATAATATACAATCTAGGCTAATAAACACATCAACGAATCTAGTTTTAACTCTTTGACAGGTTGAATGAAACGCCTTGAGTATGTTAATGTTGTGAGCACACAGGCGTCTCCTCCTCTTTGTATAGAGGTACACCACCTGGTGAGAAAGCCACCAACAGTCAAGGCAGCTATCAATTTTTTATCGTTGATCTCTTTCTGTCATAAAGTTTGTGTGTCGCGTCCGGCGTGAAATACCTAGCGTCGCGGAGTGGTTCTGGATTAGCATGCACGCCGCGTCGCATCTGGTGTGAAATGGGCTTAACATAATACAAATCTAAGTTTGCAGTCTTTTAATTAACTGTATATGCCTACTGTAATACTTTATCATTTCAAATTGATACAGACAAGAGAGGTTACCTTGCTGTGACATCAGAGTGAACTTCAGCCAGAGCTTTTTTGATGTAGGCAGGGATGGGCTTAGCAGAAGGCACACAAGCATTACTCTTCAGATCAGAGGTCTGGCTGAGTATCTTCCCATAATAATCCTGTAACACAAGTTCAAAATGACATACTATAGTATAAAGTCTGATTAAGCTAAATATTTTAAAGCCAAAACTGGAACTCTATAAAGTCACCTTACTCACAATTCATGGGATATGCATGTTCATTCTTGACACATTTTAAACTCTTAATTTCAGAAATTCTGTACCTTTGAGAGCCAATATAATTTATTTTATCAGTTCAAATAAACTATTATGGATGGCCTTGTAGGTTAATGCTAATACTCAATATTTTTCATGTACATACAGTAGTGTGTAAAAGTCAGGGACCACTGTTCCGTTATTTAATTTCTAGTCTTAACAGCTGTTAAGTCAAAGGAAAATATGCGAAAGAAAACAGGAGTTTCCAAAAATGGTGTTTCAAATAAAGATTAAGATAAAGAGAACTCAGGACTCCTAACAATCATGCAAGATTTAGCAGACCACCAAACTATCACAATGGACTGACCACCACAGAGTCCAGACCTCTACATCACTAAGTGCGTTTGAGATCACTTGGATCATGAGAGGCAGAAACTGAAACTAACTTCAAAGACTGAACTTTGAAGATGTGGAAAAATAACCTCGCAGATTTTTCTTTTAAAAACCGACAGCAAGACTCCTGAAAAGGATGGAGGCTGTAATAAAGGCAAAGCGTGACTGAAAAATGACATTATATAAACACGAAATACTGAAAGACCACCACAGGTCACGCTGTTGTGGGGGGCTTAGGGAATGTTGCCATGCAAAGCGGCTCTCGGGGTGCAGGACAACTGTTATGTCGTTGCTGCTGTTGTTGTTGTTGTGTTAGTTTATCAAAATTGTGTCTGGAGAGGGTGGGTCTTCATGTGTGTGCTTATCCACCCTCCTATGTCGTGGTCTCCCACATTACCCCATGTTTTGTGCTGGGGCAGCACTGGGCTGGGCACTTCGCTGCTTTGCTGTAGCGCCTGTTAGAAATAAAAGAGCATTTGCCTGGACTCGCCTCTGGCTAATGTTGCCCATGTCTTCTTCTAGGCCAACGCTACACCTTTCTGAAATCGCTTTGATGATTTGTCATTTGAAATGATGCCATGGTAAAAGTACTTTAGCCCTTTCAGTGGCAGATCTGCGTATTTGGAGAAATCATACCAGCAGGTTAAGGGACAAAGGTGAAGGCAGGCTGTGTTCTTAGGCTAATGGCCGAGTACAGTTAATTTTGTCGTTATCATGTGTTTGATAAGAGGGCCTTCTTGAAGATGTTGTTCCACGTCGCCTCAAGGTTTTCTGGCGTTCTGGATCAAAATTCACACCCTACCTTGACGTCTTGGTGAATGGCAGCACCACCAGGCTCGTTTCTGCGAAGAGAAGAAACACAAAAATGACTTCACACCCCCGGAGACTTCTGAAGAAAATGAAACGAAAACTAGCCCAAACGTCTGTATCTGCAATGACACTATGCAGCCAGACGAATTACCACATACTAAACACAAGCAAGTGTAATAACAGCTACATTACCGGTATAAGTCACATTTGTAAAAACTCAAGATTAGCTTAGCATAGCTAACCCTAGCTACCTGTGGGTTGTCGGGTCCGTCATGCTGGACAGCTTTGACGTTTTAAACGGTTCTGAACTGCACGGCTTTATCGTCCTCCTCGGCTCCTGTCTGTGGACTTGAAACTTGTTAACTTGTATAAAAACCACAGGCGGTCATAACCGCGATAAGCAACGGCTGTGACAGAGAGAGTCCACAGAGGCGAGAGCCGCCATCTCTGAACACTTCCCGGAACGTGACGTCTGTGTAGTGTAAACAGAGACTCGAGCCGTCTGCACACCTGTGGGAAAATCATCCAAACTTTAGCGATTATTACCTTGAACATTACAGCGAACTACTGTTTTATCATTGTAAGGGTTTGTGAGTATTTTAAGCCTAAACACGTTTTTTCCGATGCGCTGATTTTAAGAAATAGTTTTGTTTCGGGTTTGTTCGGCTCGCTGCCCAGCCCCTGTCTTTCAGGACAGGCTTGTTGCCCCGGGAGACGGGGGGCGGGGCGAAGCGGTAGAAGCAGACAGGAACTGAACCCCCTTTTCGCCCCATTGACTCGAACAGGCGTGCACTATCTTGGGTTATATCTATGATCTTTGGTTGTAAGCAGTGGGTTTGTCCGTGTTGCATAAGTACAGGATAAGGTTCAACGACCTCTACTGACCTGCGTAACGTTAAAACCACCTCCTGTCATCTACATTTACTGTCCATAAGTTTATTCTGTCCATCTGCACATATGGACACCTTAGTGTACATACTGCACGTTCTGCACCCCCTATCGCGCGTCTTGCACGTCTGGACACTCCACACCTAGACACTTTATTTCAGTACCAATATCTGCACATATTTATTCAGTATTGTCATTGTATGCCGTTACCTGTGCATCCTTGCACAGTCATTACAGCACTGCCTTTTCCATCTCAGGTATCTATCTATCTATCTATCTATCTATCTATCTATCTATCTATCTATCTATCTATCTGTCTATCTATCTATCTATCTATCTATCTATCTATCTATCTATCTATCTGTCTGTCTGTCTGTCTGTCTGTCTGTCTGTCTATCATTTTAACAGCTCCTCTTACTATATAGGTGCACATTGTAGTTCTACAGTTACAGACTGTAGTCCATCTGTTTCTCTGCATACTTTGTTAGCCCCCTTTTACCCTGTTCTTCAATGGTCAGGATCGCCCACGAGAGGTGGATCATTCTCAGCACTGCAGTAACACTGCTAGGTGGTGGTGTGTTATTGTGTGTTGTGCTGGTCTGAGTGGATCAGACACAGCAGTGCTGCTGGAGTTTTTAAACACCTCAGTGTCAATGCTGGACTGAGAATAGTCCACCAACCAAAATATCCAGCCAACAGTGTCCTGTGAGCAGGGCCCTGTGACCACTGATGAAGGACTAGAGGATGACCAACACAAACTGTGCAGCAGCAGATGAGCTTCTGTCTCTGACTTTACATCTACAAGGTGGACTAACAAGGCAGATGTGTCTAATAGAGTGGACAGCAGGTGGACATTGACTCATATCAGACATACCATGTCTGCAGTTACACCCAGGACCAGTGCAGCCCTTCTGGCTCACTCGACAGTTGACACTCCTAGGAAATCACATATAGAGTCAAACCAAGCTTACTTGACTTTAAAGAGTGAGAATATATAAATTTAAGCGCTCCTTCATTAAGTTAGTGAGAATGCTATCAGCCCAGCAGACTAATTACACAGTGATACCTGTACAAAACTGAAAGCGATACACTGACCTTACATTCTGCTGGACTTAATGATCATATGATGGGTTTGGTGACTTGTTTTTCTCTGACAGACTACAAAATAAACTGTAAACTTAGATTAATAATTGCCAAAGGGACTGAGCTCAATAAACACACATTACTCAAAGCTGCCCTCTAGAGGCAGAGCTGCAGCAGTGCACTCGGAAAGCAGCATTCATAATGTAGCATGCATGCAATCAACTTTTCAGGTATTATGGGACTCAGATTATAACAAGACACGAGCAGTCTATATTTCTTATGTCCATAATTTATTTGAAATGGGTTGTACATGTGTTATTTATTAAGACCATAAGAAGACCACCTTCAAAGTTACACTTTCTTCTCAAGTTTGAGTATGCTAGTGGGTGTAGTGTTTGGGAGTATAATCTTATGTCAACAGCATTTTTGGAGTGACCCAACTGACCCAACATTCTCTCCACGTTCTAATACTTTATATTGTTCCAGAATTACAGTGACAAGCCAAATTAATTAGAGTGATCAGGGTGTGGGGTCATTCTAGAACAGTGTGGATGGATTAGAACATTTTTGAACAGTGTGGAGAGGCAGAATATTCTAGAACAGTTTGAATGTGCAGAGAACATTCTAGAACAGTGTGAAGTGGGGATAACATTCTAGAACAGTGTGAATGTGTAGAGAACGTTCTAGAACAGTGTAAACAGATAAGAAAATTTTATAACAGAACAGTGTGGATGGGCAGAATATTCTTGAACAGCAGGAAGGTGCAGACAACATTCTAGAACGGTGTGAATAGGGGATAACATTCTAGAACAGTGTGAATGTATAGAGAACATTCTAGAACAGTACAAACGGATAAGAGCATTTTATAACAGTTAGAACAGTGTGGATGGGCAGAATATCCTTGAACAGCATAAAGGTGCAGACAACATTCTAGAACAGTGTGAATGGGGGGGGGTAACACTTTGGCACAGTGTGAATGGGTAGAGAACATTCTAGAACTGTGTGATTGGCAGAATATTCTATAATAGTGTGAAATGGGGGAGAACACTTTAGAACATCCTGAATGAGCAGAGAACTTTTTAGAACAGTGTAAATGGGAAAAACATTCCAGAACATGGTGAATAGGGAGAGAGCATTCTAGAACAGTGTGATTTAGGAAGACAATGTAGAACAACATCCTCTATGAAGTAAAACATTCTAGAGCATGTCTATGGATAGAGAACATTCTAGAACAGTGAGAATGTTCTCCCCCACAGCGTCTAAGCTTTTCTGTGGAGATTATACAAGCTGTGTGTGCATAACTGAACGCCTGGGTCAGCAGTGGAGGCACCTTAAAGTAGCTGAATTCACTCGTTAGAACTAGTGTCTGGATCCCTCGGTCCTCATATTTTGAACCTTGTAAATTGGAACAGCATTTCCATATGAGGACAAGATCACTCAAAGGGACTGAAGTTTAACCACCTGAAGTTTGTTTGAATTTTTGGTTCTAGTTATAGAACAGATTCAGTTGCCTGAGTGTTTAACGCGAAAACAAAGAGCATAATTAAAAACAATCTATTCACTAAGTGTTAAGACAGTAGCTTTGATACTTTTGTTATAAATGTGTTTTTGTGTGCTTTGAGAATTAAGTAGAATTCAGATGTGCAAAACAGGCAGCACAACACCTATAAAGGCACTTTGCTTTCTACTCACTTAATCTAAAGCAGATGTTTACTTCGATTGACAGAATACTCCATTATTTTTCATTCTAATCTCGATTCAATGCATCTGTAATATACAGTCAGTCACCACAGACAGTTCAATGTGTTAGAACAAAAACCATTCACTTAAAAATGTTATAATAGAAGCCAGTTGGCAGGTACTGCAGATGGAGAGAGAGATCAGACGTAGGCAGTATTGCTTTAAAGCAAAGAAGCCTCAGTCATAAAATGTCATTAGTCATTGCTGAGTTACAAATTGGGCCTGACGTACTAAAACTAGCCCTAATAAAGAATTAGCTGAGCAAAATCAGTTAGTATCACTGGAATTGCCAGTGCTGATAGCCATAGTAATGCTGGCTTATCTTACAATCCTCAATCCTAAAAAAGCTGACGCCGTATGTGAAAATCAGACAGATACAGAATGCAGTGATTTGTGAAACTGTTAAATGAAAACAGTACATAGACAAGATATTTAATGTTTTACCTTATCAGCTATGTTTTTTGTTAATGAACACTCATTCTGAAATTGATGCTTGTAACACATGCCAAGAAAGTTAGGACAATTTAAGACTTGGAAAGTTAGGAAATGGTCAAACATCATCTTAAATCGGCGAAGAGCATAAAGGAGCATCCGGAAACGGAAACTAGTCCTTTGTGAGCAAAGATGGGTGAAGGCAGGTCACCTTTGGGCAAAAAAGTGAATAATCCAACAGTTTTAAGAACAGTTGTGCGAATGCAAGGATTTTAGGTATTTCGCCCTTTTACGGTGGGCACAATATCAAAAGATTCAGAATCCAGAGAAATCTCTGTGCGTAAATGGCAACTGAACGCCCATGACCTTCAATCCCTTGGCACTGCATTAAAAACCAGCATGCTTGGATAATGAATATTAGCACATGGGCTCAGGAACATTCTGACCAACAACTGTCAATAAACATTGTTTGTGAATGCACAAATGCAAGTTAAGACTGTACTATGCACAGCAGATGACATAAATTAACAATCTAAGATAAGACTCTTTAATTGCTGTTTGCACAATGTATATAGGATTTCTTGTGCGGATCACTCAACTAAAAGATTAAGGAAAAAAAAAACGTTATGTAAAAAATGTTCAGAAATGCGGCTGACTTTTCTGAAGTGGACTGATACACAGTAGACAGTGGTCTGAGTCAACCTTTCAGTTAACTTTACAGGAGAAGGAAAAAAAAACATACTTTACTTTTAATGTAAGTCAATGGAACCAGACTTTTTTCCAAGTCATTTTAGGCCATTACTTTTGGTCCGTGCTTCATTAAATTTACACACAATGTAAAGGGCAACAGGCATTTTCAGATTGTGTAAAAAAAAACTGAAAATTGGCAAAAATGGAGATTCAAGGTTTTGTTCCTGACAGCAGTGTTGTACTGCCTTCTAGACAACGTCTTTTTCAGGGACGTTCATGCTTATTATAACATGACAATGCCATCAAACACTGCATGTGTTACATGAGCATGGTTGCATAATCAGAGGGTGCAGGTGCTAGACTGGTTTGCCTGCAGTCCTGACCTGTCTCCCACTGAAAGTCTGTTGTGCACTATGAAGAGTAATATACATCAGTGAAGGCCCTGTATGGCTTCACAGCTGACTGCTTGTAATATACAGGAATGCTCAAAAGAGTATTAAGTGTTATTAAAAGGAAAGGTAAGAGGAAAGACACTCTGTTATTGTACACATACAATTAAATTTTGTTTGGTAATTCTCAGAGACCAGCATTAATAGAAAAACAAGGTATGGACTGCGAACACCAAGCCAAAGTGTCTGCATGCGCCACCATCTTCCAAGATGAAGTAACGCAGTGGTAAACATGCTCCTGTCCCAAAAATTTTGAAACGTGTTGCAGTCATCAAATTTGGAATGAATGTATATTTACAAAAAACAGTAACGTTCATAAGGTAAAACATCAGATATCATGTTTTCTGTTTTCAATTTAACACAGATTAAACTGAATTTTTACTGCTTTCTGTTTTTGTTAGCATTTCACACACTACTGTCCTGACGTTTTTGCAATTGAGATTTGCACATATGCGATTTGCTATATATTAAACATAACACTTCTACTGATGTCTTGGTAAAAGTCTTACCAGCAGTTGTGTGATCTCACCTGAGAGTCAGTTCATTAGCTCAGATTTAAGTCACTGTCCATTTTTTGGTATATTTTCACAGAGAAAGTTGCCCATGACGGACACCAGGCAACAAATAATCTCAGAGAGAAATCAAAGTAAAGATGCAGACCTGCAGCCTCCAATTACACCCTTGATATGTTACGACTGCTGAAGAAATGTGGTTACACACATCAACCAAAGCTGTCATAATGAAAGTAGGCACCTTATAAGACTTAAGTCTGATTGTCAGTATGCTTATACACATATATAGACTGTTCAAATAAGAAGAGAGACATAGACATAGCCCAGTTTTAGTAAGTGTCTAGTAAGTCTTCTTTCTAGCGAGACTTTTTTCTTGCAAGTCTTTCTCTCTGTCAAGTTCATCACCCCAGCAAGACCTCCCTCTTATAAGTCTATCTTGTGAGTTTTAATTTTTAGCAACAGTTCTCTCTAGCAAGTCTTTCCTCTAGCAAGTTCTTCTCTCCAGCAAGTCTTCTCTCTAAAGGTTCTTCTCTCTAGTAAGTCTTTATCTCTAGCAAATTTCCTGTTCTTCACTTCTTCCTCATCTGGTACCATCACCCTCAGCTTTGGGATTCCGTGTCTCCATGGTGAGGCCCATCCAGTTCATTAATGGTTTGCAAATTCAGGCACACTGGATGAGGTGATGCTCCATGCTCCGCCCCCTGCTCCTCATCCCCATAGGAATGGTGGCCACACCCCTCGCAGAATTCCACAAAATCATCTTGGCCTTCCTCGCTCAACAGACCTTCCAACTCTTTGGAACTGTGGCCTCTCCCACACACACACACCTCGATCCCAGAGTCCCCGGTGAAGCGACGTCGTCTCCCCGCATTCCTCTCCTTCTCCTCGCCCTCCCTTAGCTGACCCTTCCTGCCCATATCCTGCTTCTCCACACTGGACATCTCCTCCAGGGTCTGGACCTTGCTGTTGTCTTTATGGTGATACACTCCCACTCCGGAGGTGTGGAACTCCTCTATGTTGGCTCTAGAGCACAGTGTCTCTGACACAGGGGGCACTGGAGTGGCTTGTCTGGATGGGCAGTGCGCCTCCTGCTGGTCAGCAGCGGTACATGGTGGGGGTCCAGCATTTAAGGCACTATAAGGGGGAGGTGGGGTAGCAGGACGATTCATCACCTCTTCGTACTCGGGAAGAAGATAGTTGGGCAGAAATCCTGTAAGGAACAGAAAGGCACACATTAAAATTCAACATATAATTTGATCGAAATTATTTCAGTCCTGGCTCAATGAAACAAACAAACAAATTCTGTTGAAAGTGATGCCACATTTGTGTTAGTCTATCTTATGATTTGAATGTGATGATGAAATTACTGTTATGCTTGCAGATTTTTGTTTTGCAAAGAGAAAAACTTGATTCTCCTACTGTAGGACTGCAGGACAACCAATACGGTTTGTGTCTTAGCTTATGGAGAGCAGGGTTTAGGAGAAAGAGAAGGTGCAAATGTTAACAAGATAGCATGAAGGTGACACAACATAAAATAAGGACTGGGATACTGCAGGCATTTCATGAAATCCTTAGTTTTGTTTATACCAGCGAACAGGTACAGTCGTGAAATCATGAAGATCTGCCAGTTGTGCAAGCCTACGCATAGCATTGTTTAATGCAGAAACCTCGTAATTCACTTTATAAACAGCCTTTCATTGTCCGATTATCTAGCATAATGCTAATTTCCACTGGTCTCCTTAAAGAAATTTGTAGTGTTTTTAGTGGCAATGCTGCACAATCACATTTGATGCAAATTCTAGCTTAAACATGGGCACTTCAGACTTCAGGCATACAAGTAAAATTATTGTACACATAAATTGTGTTTCTCAATATTATTGAACCAGCCTGTTAGCCTATTAGCTAACGGCTTACCTTGTCAGTTCAGTTACAGAGAATATAAAGTGCAAACTGGTTAAATAGAGCCTGCAGCATCAACCAGTGATGTTGAACTGGCAAGTCTTCATTTGGGTGCATTTCAAAGACAAGTTTTCAGCAATAACAACAGGCTTCCAGAAATGATGTGGTACTGGAAAATAAATGGTTAGCATCTGGTTTTTAGTATGGACTGCCTACTATTCACAGTTTTTAAAACAGATGTTGAGCTCGTTGAGTCTTAAAGAAGAGTAGGCAGCACCTATACAAGTAAACCAGCCCGCAGGATCAACATTGACAGAGGCTCAAGTTGCCATGTGTATTTTTCTTTAGGTTTTGGGTTTTGTGAGTTTTCCCTGATGCAGTGCCAGTTAAAACAGGTGGGAGCTCGCAGGGTCACAGGATGTTCAGAGTAGGCCGATCGATCCAAAAACAAACAGCTACACTGATAGAGGGGCTTGGTGGGTCACAGGGCTACTGACCTCCTGTTCTGGGTGAGGTCCGCCGAATCAAAAAAAAAAAAAAGAGAGAGAGAGAAAAAAAAAAACACATTCCTGCAATGTCACATGACAACAAGCCCCTCTGAGTAGATGGCTTTCTTCCAGACTGATCTGAGACCAGCTTTCTGTAGACAAGGGGTGGCCAACATAACACATAGGAACGCCTAGGAACCAATCACATACCAATTGAAAGAGGGGGTCATAGAGTTTCTGACTGTCACTGGAAGATGGCTCCCTTCAGTCTGCGAGGAGATGGCGACCCCTGAGCAGAAAGCGTTGTGTGTTCTCCGCTTCAATACGAGTGAATCCGTCATAACTGTGCAACGTGATTTTCATTGGCAGTGAACCTCCAACAGCTCAGAGCGTTCGTCATTGGTTCCACAACACTGGATGATCTCCAAAATCGCACTGAAAGAGCCGTGAGTATAGTGACACCTGACATGCTCAATCGAGTATGGGATGAATTTGACTATCACGCTGATCTGTACTGTACAGCTGGAGGAGGTTCATATTGAGCACTTGTAAAATTACATAACAAACTTTATGTTCACTTAAACTATTTACTATTTACTGCATTGCTCTGTAATGATTTACAAGTGAAATAAATCATTTTGAAATCAAATGAATCTTTTTGAATCACCCTGTACTTATAACCCTTGTTATGTGAATCACTTTATTAATGTAACCCTTTAATGCTGATGCACAAAATTGGCTATTTCAGCCTTTTATCTACTCTTAATGCTATGATTTTGATATGTAAAGAACATTATCTAGCAAAGCTGAAAATTCATAGATTTTGACATGATTAAAAATATACACTTCAATTTACACTTCAGTGGTCTTTTATCACTACTCTGATGAAACAGATAAAAAAGCATTTCCATAACAATATGAACTGCGCTTGTGTGTGAACGCTCATTTAGAACCTACCACAGTACGTACGACGTTAAATGCAGCATGGAGCTTCTTTTATGTAGTAGTAGAAAACAAGGGAGCACACAGAAAGCTCTAATTTCACATAATGATTCATTTGACTGTGACCAACGTGGACATGCATGCGCATCAACGTGGCAGATTTGAACAAGTTAGAGGGGACAAAGACACCTTGATTTCCAGTAATACCACAGCCAACAATGGCCGGGACTACAAGACAGCATAATTGACCTTGTTCTCTCCCTCCTTCTCCCCCTTCACACAGCACAATGCTAGCCAATCCATCTGTGTACAGAATTAGAAGTTGGTGTTCTCCAAGGATGTAGAGGTTTGTGCTAGCTTTCACCATTCCATCTTGGTAGCATCGTGCGATAGGGGGACACCTGACTAAAATAAGGGGAGGAAAAAAAAAAAAACTCATCTGGAACAGGATGTTTACAGGATATGTTTTTTTTTGTCAATTATTCAAGGGCTTATTTGCAGACTGCTGGCTTATGAAATATCATTATTCCAAAAAGCAATACTGTGATAATGAATAACATGCAATATTTTGTGCAACTCTAGACCAGTCCAAGCTCAACCAGTACAGTCTAAATCACAAACCTGGTCTCGTAACAGTATAAATCGACCCTTTCCGAGCCTCTCAAAGGTCAGCTACTTACTCTCCGTAGCGATGGTGTTTGATGTTTAGGTGTCGCAACACTGGTGCAAAAGCATGGCTGGTGCACTCTGTAAACTGGAGCATGTATCCCTGTTACATAATTAAGGCAAGAATGCAATGACAAAGCTGTCATCTGTAACAGGAGGTTTGGAATGGATTTTTGGGGTAAACATTTCAGCAGTAGAGCATCAGACACTGTCCTAAATGCAATTATAACACCAAAAAAGGGCAAACACAAATGATCTGAAATAACAGTGACCTAGCATTAACGTAACTCTTGCTGCTGTGGGGCTACATCTTGTTCTCACAGATACAAGACACAGGCAGAACCAAACTCAGAGTCGGATTGTATGGTATGGCAAGACACAGCAAAGCTGTCTCTAAGTACTTATAAAAGTGAAAGCACTTTTAGCTCACATCAGTATAAGCTGTTTGTTCTGCTTGTAATCACCTAAAAGTGTATGACCTTAGGAGTTTAGAGGTATTGCTGTCTTGATACACATCATATTTACATGAGTTACATTATTTAGTTACTTAAAGTAATACATACATTCTGAGCTCATTTTGTCATTTAATGTAGCTTTAACAAAATACACTGCTTTGTAAAATGACTCTCTTTAGAGTGAAGCAATTAAGACAAATGCAATTAATCATGATTAACTACACAAAATAATGTGATTATCATAAATTATGACAGCCCTAATTTAAATTTAAATATGTATGTACTTATTTACTGTTCACATAATTAGGAAAACATTTAAAGGCAATTACATAACCAACAACACAACTAGTAATTCATTACATTCACATTCAAGATGTTTTGTTTACAGGTTCAAGTGTGCCCATTAAATTATATATGTATATATGTATATATATATATATATATATATATATATATATATATATATATATACACACTCACATACTAGTTTTATCCCATTATCATAAAATATCTCCTCTGTTCAGTAACTCAAATGTGGTGCAGACTGATATTTTAGAATTTGCATTTGCTAATTCATATAAAATTCAGTAATTCATATAAAATGACATCATTTTTTGTTATCAAGTTCTTACTGAAGTAGAACGGCGGTGAAGTGTAGTTGTGAGCCTCTCTGTAGGCGATGAGGTTGATCTCATGCTGCCGCTGTTGCTGCTGCAGTCTGTGTTTGGTGCGACGGTGATGACACACACAGCAGCAGCTTAGGATGAAGATGATGGCCCAGACTAACCAGAACCCTAATAAACAAACAAACGGACTTCAGCACATATAAGCAAAATATGTAAACAGGTATTACATGCCCAATATTTTTCCAACTGTTTTAATGTTAAAAACAAATGGCAAAAGTTTTTGCAGTGAAAAAGAAGTAAACACAACCTCTGCAACACACTTTTTATATTTTATGCAAATGTTAATACACAGGTACTTTATATTTGACTTACTTAACTAATAAAAATAAATAAATAAATAAATAAATAAATAGTACTATGCCAAAGTTCAGACACGGTACCAAGTCAATAAGTTGTGACATCCACTTTGGCAGATATTACAGCTAGCAAACACTTTTTGTGGCCAGCTAGGAGTCTTTCTGTTCTTGTTTTAGGAATTTTCACCAACTCCTCCTTGCAGAACGCTTCTAGTCCTGTGATGTTCATGGGCTGTCTTGCATACTTTAAGATCTAGCCACAGATTTTCAGTGATGTTCAAGTGAGGACACAGCACAGGCCATTCCAACAACTTAAGCTTGCATTTATTGAAGTAGTTCATGGTGGTTTTGAGGTGTGTTTTGGATAATTGTCCTGTTGTAGATGCCAGCCTCTTTTCAGCTTCAGTCTCTTGACTGTGTCACATAATACAAAGCATAAAACATCCACCTTCATGCTTAACAACTGACAAGGTGTTCTTTTCATCAAATGCTCATCATTTTTTTTCTCCAAACATACCTATACTGATTAAGTCAGAGGTCCATTTTAACTTCGTCAGTTTACAGCACTTGTTTCTGAAATTGCTTATTTAAATGTTGTTTAGCAAACCTTAGAGACTGACATTTGTGATGAGGTCACAGGTAAGGTTTCCTTCTGATTTCATGCAGGTCATGTTTGTGCATGCCATACTGCACAGTAAAACAGTGCACCACCACTCCTGCGTGAGCTTAACCTTCCTGCAAATCCTTTGCTGTTATATAGGAGTTTTGCTTTGATACATTTTTATAGCCTGCTTTGTAAGGAATGAGTCAGATCTTTGGCCAGCTGCTTAGAGGAGCTCACGGCTGTTGAATGTTAAGGCTTTTCTACGGTTTGAATAGTCAGAGAAGTAACACTTTATTTGGATAGTCCACATTAGATGCTTTGTAGACATGTAATTTACTTTCAATTTACACTGAACTAAATATCTACTAAATTGACCATCATTTTCTTTAACTCTAATCATGGTCCAAATCCTAACTCTAACCCCACAACCTTTTAGAATCAACCGAGTTTCAACAGATAGTTTGAACATCTGTAGATAATCTACAGGGGACTATAGTGGACTGTCCAAATAAAGTGAGACCGTGAGAGAATTTATTATGCTCTGGAATTGTCATCCACAGACAATGTCTATTGACACCTCTTGACCTGCCTAATGAGTTAACACTGTGCTCTGTGACTTGAAGGGTGTCCAAACCTTTGCACATGCAGCAATTCTCATCATTGAAGGTTTAGCTCATCAAAGCTAAAGTATCTGTGCATTAACATTTGCAAACGACATTTTAAAAATAATTCGCTGCAGAGGTTGCGCTTAATAGAAATAGACAGATGGGTGATGGAAACCCTGTAGAATTTGACAAAACAGGGACTGTGCATGCCAAATATAACATTTCTTTAGTTTTTACTCTTTTGTTCCATTCTGTTAAACGCTACTGTGTGATCTTATTTAGCATCCATTTTGGTAGCATGTTTAAATGTCAGTGCGCAAAATCTTGGTTTTGGCTGTAATTTCAGGACCAGCAATGCTGGGCAGTGTACTGCAAATACACTGCTAAGCCCATTTCTCTGATTACACAGACACTTTTTTTGGAAAGTATGAAATCCCATGAGAAAGACAATGGCATATGCGAACCGACTAAACACAGATTATTGTTTTTGTGTGACATGGGGTGGGGGGCGGGGGTCTTGTCACAACTGTGCTAAAAACAAAAACAAATCCACATTAAACTAAAGCAGTAAAATACGGACAGAGTTGTTGAGTGGGCATGACGACATGGTGTTAATGCTGCATCGATGTGGACTTTGACTGTGTAGTGATAAAGCATAAGCAGTGAGTAACTGTAATCAAGCATGTACCATGTTTGCACAGGCCATATTTTCTATTTTACGCCCCCATCCAAACATCAGATTCAGCAAATGAACAGTAACTGTGTATTAAAATGTGCAGATGTTCGTTCTCTATAGAGGACGTGTTGACTTCTTTTCACTTAATTAATGAAACATATTATTTGGCCAGGGGTGCCCAAACTTTTGCATAAGACTGTATGTGTGGGCAGTCTTACATCAGCAAGCTTCTAAATAGAAATCTGCAGGCAATATTGTTCATCTTTTTATCTTCATCTTATGTGTAAACATTCTTACTTATTCCAAGTAATCTTATCAACATGCTTGCTTTCATCAGGCATTAACGTCTTACATATCACCTTTTTTTTTGTTTTTAGAGAGGCGATGTAATGATTTACTCACACCACAGCTCGTAGTAATAGCTGCAACACTGAGACTCTCCGCAGCAGTGACCCGACTCACACACGTAGCTTTGGTTATTCGCTCCCTCACATCGCTGCACCTGATGAACAAAAAAGTAAACCAAACTCACTAAACACACAACACTATTCAACAGACAACAATATTCAGTACAATATATAATTCAACACATTGCTCAATAGACTACAACGGTGCTCATCATCCCAAGCTGAACTGAGCTTTTTAACACAGAAACATGGCGGTCACACATCAGACCCAAGGCCAGATCTAATGGTGACGATGTATGGAAAGGCTCAAAGACGGACGGCTTTTCTGATGAGGAAATTAAAACAAATGTGAAAGAATTCCAGGACTTACACAACTTAGAGCACTTTCACACCTACTTTGTTTGGTGCAGACCCATCAAATGTTTCTTTAGTTCAGTCTAATTTGACAGGTGTCAACACCAAAAACTGAGAGTCTCAGTTCACTCCCAAATGAACCCTGGTTCAGTTCACTGCTGGTGAGAACATATTTTTTGTGATGGTCAACACCAAACATGGGAAATAAGAATCAGAGCATGTTTTTCTCTTCTTCTAGCAGCAAATCATGCTGCAACAAATGCCTGTTAACATGACACTTTACAGACGCTTAATACAATAATAATACAATACAATAATAGTGAATACTATCACAGTACAGTACAATAATAGTGAAGCAATGCCTTTGATTTTGGCACAGAATGTATTGCATCAATAACCTGATTGGTTATAATCAAATTGGTTAGCCAGTCACAAAGAAGCAGAAATTAAGCAGGCCTTAAACGTCTCTATCATGCAAAGTAGGGGGCTTAAATGGTGGCAAATGTACGAGTAACCGAGTGCTCATACCCTGCAAAAATTTAGCAAACTAACCAATAAACAAGCACTCACTTACACAATACAATATGTCAAAAACCCAAACTCAGTTTGTTTGCTTAAGTCCAAACCAAAGTGTGAAAACAACTTCAAACTTATAACACTTATACAAAGACGTTTCTGGTGTTCTAAGAACAATGGACTGACCACCCCAGTGAATGTGTTTGGGATTATTTGGATCATGAGAAGCAGAAAATGCAACCAACTTCAAAGACTGAACTTTGGGGGTGTGTAAAAAACAGCTCTGCAGATTTCTTTAAAATGCTGAAAGCAAGTCTGATGAAAAGAATGGAAGCTGTAATAAAGGAAATAAAGGTAAAGAGACACACTAAATACTGAAACATTAGAATTAATATATGTAGTTGTTGAGGCTTCTGTGTAATTTTCTGTCAAATATGTTTTCTGCTTATTTTCTGACAATGAAAAATTAATAACTTCAATGGAAATGACACTTTACTTATGTATTAGTCCCTAGGACCCAACAGAAACAGATATTTTGTGATCAATAACACCATCACTCCTATGCTAACAATTAGTAATGTACTAAGTTAAACAGTCAGTGCTTTACTGACTGATATGATTGTCGTCAGCCTTCAATGGTTAATTATCAGATATGACTTATCAACTGACATCTCTTATTGTTTAAGACAATTGAGTTTATATATATATATATATACACACACACATGCGCACACACACACAGTAGTGTGCAGCAGTGGTTTTGTTGGATTCTGTTAATTCAGCACCTCAGTTTATTTATTTATTTTTTTTCCCCACACTATTTGAAAATGCCAACTGCTTTAAACATTGTCATAATCTTGATTATGAATGAATGGCAAGGGTCCTAAAATTTCTTAGAACATTTTTTCCTTTTCAGATAAAGGTTTCTTCTTCTGAGATACAAGGTTATGATATGATATGATATGATATGATACGATATGATATATGATAATGAGAGATGTGCAACATGATCATTTTTGACAATGGAATGTCATTAAATAAAACATACGTATCACTGTGTCACAAAAATCAAACAAAAAGTAAAACACAGCGGCCAAAATGTCTGAGCTATGGCTGGGTATGCTTACGTCTTGGTTAACAGAGTTTACTTATGAGCATGAGCTTCATAGCCCTTAGGGAGCAAATCAGTCACTCATCCCCTGATACTGCAGAACAGACCACACACATTCACACTAAAAGGCAAATCGTTAACTAAAATCTCAGAAGTTGTTGGCAAAACAGCATTGAATCGTACTGCCAAAAATTCAATGTTGGCTCACCAAATCAAAACACAAATACCTGCTGCGTAGAAGCTCACTAAATCATTAGACTTCTCTTCTTCCACAGTGCTTTAACTATGCTACTAACAAGAAACAACTAGAATCCCAGATAAACGAATACTGTTAGTGATACAATAGCAAAAGACAGTACTTACAAACCAACAACCTCACAGTGGATCTAAATCTGCTGTCTACTGCAAGATTGTGCAACGTATCTTTGTTGAAGTATGCTTCCAAGTCAGAAATAACCTGTTAAACGTAAAAGTCACAAGAAACCTTTAAAAACAAAGGTTCCTAGAAAAAAAATAGCATAAATAAAAGCAGCCCTTCATCAGGTAGGCAGAAAAGGCATTAGGTTCTACGCTGTGGTTAATGATTAAATTATAATGCTGATTCAGCTCACCACCATTCTTACTGGCACCTGTAGCAGAGACATGCTAGGCTAGCGTTAGTCCGTCCAATGCAGGTCCTTTCAAGCAAAGGGTCAGTGTGCCAGTAATGGACCCAGAGGGAAACACATACTCACTTGCAAACCCACCCCCCTTTTTCTCACCTCTCTCTCTCTCTTGCTCTCTCAGGCCAAATAAGGGACCAGGATTGAGAGGAGGTCAGAGGAGAAAGTGGGATGAATTTTAATGACCTCTGTATTCTGTATAGTGTATACACTATTCACACTCTTGTCAACAGAAGTGTCTTTATGTAATAATAATGTGTGTAATGTAATAAAAGTATATATATATATATATATATATATATATATATATATATATATATATATATATATATATATACACACACACACACACACACACACACACATAAGAAATGTAACGGTTCACCCCTTCCACAGGTCAACTCTATTCAGTCTTTGGTTTCTGGGCCAAGGATCAGTTTGTATAACGGAGAATTAAATTAATCACATAAAAAACTCCTCTCTTACAAAATTGCTGTAAAATGAAGTGGAAAAACAAGCTAAATAAATGTAAATATCAGCAAGTAGAACAAAAAATAAAAATGTGAACATCAAGTCAAATAAATCTATCACTCTGTTTTAAGTATCAAGAGAGTAGCTGGTAGAGCAACTTCAGATGTCCAGATATTCATAATTGAAATGAAGTGAGCCTTAATCAGCTGTTATTAAATAAATAATTATTTTTTCATGAGGGATTCATTTTTCTTAGAATAAATTGACTTCAATTAAAGGTTGGACTTTTTCGGTGTGAGATTGAGTTAATTCACTAAAAGGTCAATTTCTTACAACCCTTTTTACTCATCTTTACCAGGGGAACACATTTCATGTTTAACTTTTTCATGTTTCATGTTAAATTCAGTGAATAAACAGGAACTGTATATTAAAGTGTGCAAGGTGTGTCTTCTGTTCTCTGGAGCTTCCTTAAAAAGTTTTTCTGACCAATACTGTGACTTTAATTTAAATCACGATTTCTTTTTTAATAAATTAAGATAAGGGCCTGTTTTTTTGTCCACAACAAGCAGCTTATCCACTTTTTTTCTGGCTTGAAGCTCAAACACTGAACCTTTAGTGTGCCGGACTGTCAGTTAGTTGTGGTTATGTACACAGCACATGGGTGCTTGGATGTTTGGATGGATGTTATTGGGATAAACTTCTCCACTTAATACTTGTAAAGAAAGTTGTTGTTGACACAGGCTATACTAAAAATGGCAGCTCTTGTGAATTGGAAATTGCAGTCTTTTAAACTGCAATTTCAAAATAAAAACTAATCTTTCAGCCCTAGCTCTAGTTAAATCACCAACATACCAAATATCTCATCTCACTTTGAATTCCAAACCTCATCAAGTAACAGATGAAGGAACTTAATGTTCTGTTCCTGAAGTCCACTGCCACCGCTGTACTGTTCCCACTCCCTCTACACACGCACATGTGCTCCAAGCTAGCACTCTTTATTTAGAAATGTGTCACTTTTTGGTGGTTTCGTCTGTCCATACAATGCCAGCCAGCCACTGTTTACACAATACGGACCTGACTACAAGTGCAAGTGCAAAGGCCTTGCAGCACGTACACGATGTGAATCCACCAAACCACGTTCTCTCTGATAAAAACGAGAAATCCAAAAGGTTCCCTGACTCAACAGGTCACATCTGTAGTCACAGTGCTGCATACTGACCATGAACCCCACCTTGAGAACATTCTTTTTGTTCTAGTCCAACTTTCCTCCTCAAAACATGTCAATCACGTTCACATGACCAACTGCTATAAGAGCATGAAAAGCCTCTGCATGAAGCACGAGCGGGGGTCGGCAAACTGGGCTTTGATTTCCTCCCCTCTGTAATAGTGTAAAGACAATTAAAGGAATAGTCAGGCAGAACAAATGTGTTTATACAGTTTTCCCATTAATCTGAAAAGTAGTCCATCAGCCAAGACATGTTTTTGTGCCTGAAGTTTATTCTTTAGTTTCGCACTGGAGCTACGAAGCTAATACAGCTACAAAACAGCCAAACGCACAGAGGGTTCAATATGGCCGATATTACTGTTTTTGGCTAACATATTGTGTCCATTTTTGTAGATAACAATGTGTTAAACAATATCGGAAACCACAAGCGAGTACAGTTGTATGCAAAAGTTTGGGCACTCCTGGTCAAATGTTTTGTTGATTTTCTAAGAATACATTGTAATTAATACCGTTTTATTTGTTGCGTTTAATATATTGGTGGAAAATTAAAACTTAAAATGAGGCTTGTGCAAAAGTTGCAGCACGTTTTCTATTTATATTTATATTTATTCCAATATGTTACACTTAGCAAATGAACAGAAATTGTGCACTGAAATTTGCAGGAAAATGCCATATTTAAGTTTGTTCCATGTAGACAAACTTACAAAATGAATAAAACTTGTAATTTGACCACAAGTCGACTTAGCATCTAATCAC